GGAATCTTTATTTCTTTGTGATTTAAGGATTTAGAATCAGAGTTCTTATTGGAAATCATAGTCTGGATGTTATTGAGGAGAAAATAATAGGTTTGGCCTGAAGTTCTAAATAAACCTTGTGTTAATTGAAAAGGTTTAAAAATGACATTATGATAAACCTGTTTAGGTTTTGATGTATTATCTGAAAGTTGAAAGTTTGGCTTTGGAATTGAAAAGGGTATTGATAATATGATGTATTTGTTCATATATTTGTTATTTATATGAAATATTGTTTTTAAATAAATATTTTGGTGATTCTCACCCTGCAATAACATAAAAAGGGATCTCACTAGACCTTTCGGTCTAACCCTCGTTTTGTGATTTTTAATATGTATTGCAGGAGGTTCAGATAATAAGGGGAATGAGAAAATGTAATATTTTCCTATGTGCTTATTTGCTGGAAGATTTGACCATGATATATATAGTTTTGTTAGAAGAATGGGGATTAGCACAAGAATTGTATTTTAAAATTTTGAACCATGTATTGAGTACTAGTAGATTCTTGTACTAAGGGACCTATGTGGTGTATAAATATGTATTTCTTGTGTATGAAGTATATGTTACATGCAATATGTGGAATGAGGTGTTACATGCAATATGTGGAATGGGGTGTTACATGCAATATGAAAATCGAAAATTATTATATTTATTAATCCATGAAATTAGTAACAGATCCAAACAAAGATTCATGAACTGGTAAAAATATAATCAGTTGTGAAACAGATTCATATTATAAATTGACTGATGAAATGGGTGCATAAAGAAAGTGAAACCATTTCATAATTGCTAAAAAAATGATGTGTAATTAGCGAACAGTGAAACAGTTTCATAATTAGATTGAAACGGATCCACTTACCAATAACATGAAAATGACAAACGTCTCATCTAGCATTACGTAGATTTATGTATTGATGAAGCTGTGAAACCATTTCGTTCATGAAATTGTTCATTTTTTTGGATGATTTTGTTCACTTAATGGTTAACATAGCCTGTAATGGTAGATGCATTGACGCTAGGAAACATGTTCGGATTGCAAAAACTTTGTCGATGAAATGGGTGCATAAAGAAAGTGAAACCATTTCATAATTGCTAAGAAAATGATGTGTAATTAGCGAACAGTGAAACAATTTCATAATTAGATTGAAACGGATCCATCTACTGGAAACTTGAAAATGACAAATGTCTCATTTAGCATTACGTTGATTTGTGTATTGATGAAACTGTGAAACCATTTCGTTCATGAAATGTAGTAGTAAATTATTATTTTTATTATTATTATTCAAAAGGTTTCATTATGTTAAATTGATTATATTGTGTTTTATTTTTATTGTTGATCTATTTTAATGATTGATGTTATTTTTTTATAATATTTGAACATAAAATTAATATATTATTTTACAAATGATTTTTTTTCCTTTAATATTACGATATACATGGTATGGTTGCCATTAATATTACCACTACCAAAGTTACCATTTTTCCCTTTTCGGGATTATAAAATAATTTTTTTTAAAAAATTTTCTAGTATAATCTAAACTAATCTTGACCATTGATCAAGAAAATAGATGGATGAGATTGGTTTACATGGTTTACACAAATGAGGGCGGTTTTCATTTGATCACTCCTCTATAAATAATAACCAATAATGATAAGGTAGATTCATATATCAAAGGTAATATTGATTCTTATTAATTTATTATATATGAGTGATCATCGACTTATTTATCTAACTTCAACAAGTTTAAAAAAACTTGCTCTCACCATGCAACACATAGTGTCAAACCAGTGGTGGATGGCCTTAGGGGCTTGCAGGGGCCATAGCCCTTGTGTTTTTCTCTCTTAAGTAGGTTTCTAGTGTTTACATATGATAAAAAAAAATTGTTTGAGTTGGGCCCTATGCCATACTCACTCCATTATCGAGATTCAACATAGTTAAAAATTAAAAAAAGCTATCATTGGCTTTGTATTGTTTAAGTTGTAATATATATATATATATATATATATATATATATATATATATATATATATATA